TTTTTTGAGAAAATCTTCAAGAAGGGCTGGTAATAATATACCTTCAAATTGTTCAGAAGTTGTACATGTAGTGTTTGATTGAAGGGTAGAGAAGCAAGACGTGTGAGAAGCAGAAACAGGCGTAGTGACAACTGGTGCTTTAATGAAATGTGCACGAAAGAGTTTCACGAATGCAGCAAAACTTGAAAATTCGTCTTCGTGCTCAAAATACCAAGATAATGCTTGATCTTCCATAATATGTTTTACATAATACAATCTAATTTCATGGGTAATATCTAAATCCCTGAACTGTTTGAGAATATTTATTAACCATGACTCAGCACCGGTTCCCCCGTGAAACTTGGGAAAGGCACCAACAGTTTTCAAAATCTGATTTGTTTTCTGTTGATCTGCATGTTTCTGTGTAGCTTCTTCCGCTTTAATATCATTTGTAAAAGAAGATTCTTGCTGTGTTTCAACTGATTTATTATGATCTGTAGTTGTCGTTAATTGAAAATTTACAGCACGTGTTGATAAAGCAGAAGCTTGATTTATGTATAAACCAAGTTGTGTTTTAAATTTTGTCCAATCGTTTGAAAAAGCGGAAATAGATTTATTGTACCAGTCTTGTAATTCATAATCCAGGTAATCGTATGATAAAGATGGCCATAATCGTTCTTTATAGCTCAAATCGGTAAAAACTTGTTCAATAGATGAAAGCCATAGTAGAATTGTATCGGTTCTGGTATGATCAAGTATTAGGATTGTGTCTAATTGGTCTTTTTCAAACGTTTTGAATTGTTCCACGTTATCCATGTTTAATGAAGTTGTACTACGACCTGTGAGTGTAGACGTTGATATTACGGGAGTATGTGCAAGGACAGGGTCAGTTGATATAGGTGATTGTTGTTTTGTTTGGGATGAAAGAATTGACGATGTATTGCGATGGAGTGTATCTTCTGATGTTCTAGGTACTGAATTTAGTTGTTCCTCTAATTTTTCTTCAGAAGACGATTTTTTGTTGCGTGTTGATGATAAGTCTTCTTTAGCGGAATTTGTAGCATATTGTATGCATTCTTCGAGTGTTAGATCTCTGGTGTTTAATTTGGATCGTGTGATATGTGGCATTACGTGACATCATATGTCAGAAAAGGCGAAAAGAATCGATAACTGTTTATAAAAAAATGTCCAGGCCTCTGCTTTTCTGGGTATTTTTTTTCAGGGATTACTATTTTGGAAAAAGGAGATTTTACAAAAAAATATGTCTAGCTGAAATTACAATAAACCACAAAAAACACAAGCCTTAATCTAATTTTTCGTGGATTTCTTTCTTTCACCAGGATGAATTAGTCTTATTCTCAAAATAATATAAAACTTAACATACCTTGTTGTTTTGTTAGATAGCCAAGAAGATAAAACTAATTCTTGCTATGAATTTACGACGATAGAATATAAATAAGCTCTAATGAGCGGATAACGAACGATAATTAACGAAAAAAATAAATAAAATATAATCTTTATAATATAAAGGTATTGCAGATGAAAAAACACGATCAGATAACAAAATGAACAAATTCCAATCAAATAACAAATTTAATTTAATTGTATCCTTGTTAATCGACGATAAATGTAAATCAACTGGGACTGAGTAAAAAAAGAAAAACAACAGCACACACGAACAGTGAGCTTATTTTTCAATAGTGTAATATATGAATGGCGTCAGGCCCCCATTTGTTAGCTCTCCGATGCTGAAAGCGACTAGTAATCACGAGAAATGAGATCAGTCCCACGCCTCTATGAATAAGCCGAGACCAGTGTCTAGTGGGTTCTGGAGAAGCTAAACAAAATCTGCTGCGAGAGAAATCACCAACCTGTGTCAATGGGTATGAAAGCGATATTGTATCTCTTTAATATGTATTTATTATAAGCAGAATGAAATGATAAATAGCAATGAAACAGTTTTAATATATATAAAAATGAAAAAAAGTAAAACAAAATCTTCAGACTGTTTTATAAATAGAGAAGAAAGAAGATCCGTCCACTTGAGCAAAGAAAAAAGGAATAAAATGTATGTATGAATAAATGTACATGCGTTAACTGAAATCAAAATATATGAAATAAGAAAGAGAGAGAAAACATTATATTACATCATACATAACAACTTATGGACTAGCACATGGTCTAACTGCTAGGACATAACATTCATTCACCTGATCGGTGAACCTGGTGATTATTATTATATTTTTTTGCATTTCTTATTCTCTTATTTTTCTTCTCTTTAAAGGTACAAACAAATCAGGCCTGTTCAAAGTATTACAAAACAGTATTTCGGTATTGACGAAAATATTTCCGAATTTCTTTTCCAAACCTGTTCTTGAAACAATAAATGGGAAAGAAAAGCTAACTACTGTTGACTTGGTGGTAACCAATGATACCGAACTCTCCTTATTTCAACGTCTCTCGAAACGAGTAAGTTCCTAGTGTGAAAAGTTAGAAATAGAATATCCCAAAGATAAATAACAAACCTTTCTTTCCTTTTTGAAACGAAAGGTGAACTTTGAATGACATTCGCACTTATTTTTACGAAAATTTAAGTGCGAATTAATAAGAAATATTTTATTTTTAGCTTCGAACATTTATTTTTAAGAGACTTCTGAGCGATCAGATTGAAAAAACATAGAGATAAAAAATATACTAATATACAGGGTACCTCAACATATAATCTCCAAGATGTCGAGGAATTTTAATGGCATACATAAAGACAATATTTTTTCGTGTCTTGAAAGATTTTAACATATTAACGTTTTCGAATATTATTTTAAGTAACAAGATATTTTCTTTGAGAATCGTAGTACTCTTAGTTTCCAAGCTTTACTTCATTTTTAGGAGAACATATTCATTTCAACTGATGAACTTGATGTTATTAACACTCGATTCGGAGTATATCTTGCTGGTGTTGTGGACAACGATATGAAAACAATTGGATCCAAATTATTATGCCAATGTTATGATACCGTAAAAAATGTCTCTCGTACGACCGGATCATCATCATTTTATATTGAACGTGGCTCTATAAATATTTTTGGAGCATCCACTGGTAATATGCTTGCATCGGTCCTCCGCTAGTACTACAGCAATACTATGTCTGATGGAACAATAAGTCGTTATATGTACGTTGGCGCTTCAGCTCACAAAGCCTCTAATGTTATGCCAATGGAAATCCTCTCTGTACAACCAAATATTGTTCATATTTTAATAGTTGCTCGTCTATTGGCACAATATAAACCAATTTTTGTTTTTGCTCAACATCCAGAAGAAGATGCAGTACCAACATCAGGTTTACTTCGTACCTACACATCGATTTATTAATTGTATCTCCCTAATTTTCTTTGTTTTTTCTAGTTACTGTTCCACTTGATATCGAAGAAGCTAGACAACATATTTTGAATCCTATTCCAACAACTGAAACAATGTTGCTTTTAAAACCTAATGTGACTGTTGCCGTGAAGGAAACTGATCATGAATACGATGGAACAATTCTATCTGCTCGTAATGTTATACGTCGAATAATCGATTTCGAACATGAAAAATCATTACAAACAGATGCTAATGGAAATTCTTTTTATACACCGTTACAACGAGCATTTCAGAGGAAGAGCAGCAATAAATTAGCAAGATTGGCTGGTATATGTCAAACAATATCGTATGCTGTTCAATTATGTACAGAATGTATCAATATGGTTAGATTTGGTGACGGACTATTTCTTAAAGAATTTATTGATGATGAACAACTACGTTGGCTCAACAAATTTCATGATAAAATTAAAGAATTAACTGAACGTGATATTTCTAAAGCACCGAAATATGGTGGTGATCAACGACCTTTGCTCTTTATTGAAAAACCAGCAGTTCATGCATCCGAAATTTTATTTCAGTATACTGCAACAACTATTTCTACCCTTTTTGATGCTACATCACTAAATGCTACTGAATCAACAAAAAATGATAATAAATTTTCCAAAAATGATCAAATATTGAAAAGGTAAGTTTTGTTTCATCAGCATAATTTTTGTTAAAGGTTTTTATACTTCGATCGTAATTTATTCTATAGTGTTTTCATGATGAAATCGAAAAACAATTTTAAGCCTAAAAAGATTAATAACAATGATCACTTAAATAGATCATTGTTAATAGATCATTCATTATAGGTAAAGAACAAAAAGTATTAATTACTATTCACAAATACATAAGATGCTTTTTTCAGAGACTGAATCATGAGTTTTTAATTTTGTTATTTTGCAATTTTTGGACAAGAAAAAAGAACTATTCACTGGAACGCGTTCCAGTGGAAGTCATTTTTCCATATGCCACCACAATATGATTAATTCGATTGAGCACATAAACACTAGTAAACAGTGGCAGATACTTGCCTTCTTGATCAAGAGTTCATGACACAAATGAATTATAAAAAATTTACAAAATTTCTATACTTTATAGCAAAGGTTTATTTATGGAGTCTATCAAGATATGTGTGAGTTTAGTAAGTCTTCCGAACTCTACTTGACTCTAACAGGATCTGTAAGTGTCTATGAGGGTCTACCACTGTCTATAGCAGTCTGTCAGGGTCTACCAGGATCTACTTAGGTCTCTATGATTCAAGGCATCTTCATCTTACAGACAGTTACTGAGTGTGTTCTATTGTGTGCGGTTTGTCTTTTATGACACCCTCACGTGAGGAGAATCCCTATTAAGTGAGTATTCACGTGTGCGGTTTCTGTTTCATGGCACCCACGGTTATATACGCCTCCTCTAAATATGTTAATTCATGTAATACTTTGTAGACGCGGGTGGACCCGTGTAGATCGTGGTAGACTATGATAGACATTTTTATATAAATGTAATACAAATTTTGAATTATTTTATAACTCATTTGTCATTCAACCAATGCCGATCAAATAAGAACTGATTTTGTTTCGTTAAGTTGGATGATAGGAAATTAAATAGGATAAAGAGAATAGTTTTCTAATCAAAAGGATGAGTCTTATTATTAAAATTTGCCACATAAGAAATATTTTATATTAATAGATTCAAATTCTATTGATAAATTGAACATAGCCTGCACGATTTAGTTCCCTATAATAAAAAATGAAGAAAACAATTTCTTTTCCGAAAAGTTAAGGAAGTAGTTCCCTATGATTTAGTTCCCTGTTATTTAGTTCCCTATATCAATTGATTTGTTAAAGATAGAAAGAGAAAAGAGCATTTTCTCCAAATATTTAAAATGTCTAGTTCTTGCAGCATTTAAAATGACGATATCTAGTTTGTGTTCATAATATTCGAAGAACTTTGAGCTATTTGTTGATTATGACATCTCAGATACAGAGCCTATATTTAAAAATACTTATGTTCATCTAATGGAAAGAGAAATGAAAAAACTTTTAAAC